TGAACTACCCATTAAGAGCAAAAGGAGAGCAAAGTTTCTTTCAATTACTTATAAAGTAAATAAATACTTCTAGAAACTTTCAGATGCAATTTTTCTCAGAAGGCAGTAGCCTTCCTTTCTATAAAAGAAAGAATAGCTCCCCAGATGTGTAAGCTTCCCACAATACCTTACTTTCTGATCTCAAAAAGTCAAAAAGTACAGTTAAAATGTGTAGATTGTCTGGATCTGAAGTGTTTCTTAGAGTTCACAAACAGTAATGGGAAATATTTCCAGCTGCAAAAATAAGCAAAGGAAACTGCAGATTATTCTCTACCTAAAATGTCAAGGAACAGCTCCTTTATCTTTTTTTAATTTTTTTTTCCTTTTCTTTCTTTAAAGAAAGCAGAACAAAGTATTCCTTCTTCTTTCCTGATTTTTCGTAAGCCACAGGCTGTGCCCCATCCTGGTACTGCTCCCGTCACTGCGGCGCTTTTCCCTGGGCTCAGCGCAGCCAGGGTGGAGCTCCGAGGACATCTAGTGGATCTCTCTCAGGCAGCAACTGCTTAGGAGCAGGAACCGGAGGCTTCCTGACCACCCAATGGTACAAAAAGGTATAAAAAGGTCCCAAGACACTTCCGAATTGAAATGCACAATGTTATTTCAATTCGTCAAGTTCTCATGATCCAAAGTATGAGTGAAAAATCATCAGCATTAAAGGCGACCAGAGCGGAGTGATCGCCTGCCAGCAATGCTGGTTAGCATCATGAGACTGAAACACAGACAGGACTTCCCCCAGCACAGTTTCAGTTTCCTGAAAAATACAGCAGCCTACCTTAAACTGTTTGTGAGAATTTATTCACCTTAACACAACAGGAAAATCTATCTCTCCATAATTTAATTTCTACAAGACAACTTCAAGACTAGCAAGGGGGCTTGTTCACTCTCTTGTAACTTTTTCCATCAATGACAATTGGATTGTTTGCTCCAATTCACAAGGTGCTGTTCTATGTCAAAACTGTAGAAACAGCAGGAGATCTTAGTGGACATCTTGCCCTATTTTAGCAGATATAAGAACGACTCACAGGTAGTGATGTAATAGCACATTTATAGACCAATTCACTTTAATTTTCAAATCTGATCATGACCTTTCCTTCATTACCTTACAGAAGACTCTCAGCCAGTGTACTCTCAAAGCAAACTACATTTCTAAACAAGCTATTGGGGAAATGGAAAAAAAACCAAACCAAAACTACATGACCTTTTCTAGTTCTTTCACAGCATGAATAACTCCTTTACTTATTTATTACCATTTAAATGAATTTCTTTAGTTCAGACAGGTCTCAACATAAGAATATATTTTAAATAAATACATTGCTTCAGATAAATCCAGATTACTTCCAGTATTTTGCCTAAAAGTCAATGGGATTCACCATTCCATCCACAGAATTTGTTTTAATGTTGATTCTTATCATGGTGACCTGTTTCACAATCTGCTTTTTCCTGCTGCTTCATCTGTCTGCTGTGTCATTTTATTAGCTAAAAATAGATGTTTGAAGAAATTTCTGTTCTGTCCTTGAATATTTTCTTCCACAACAAGATCTCAATAATTTAGTGCAGTTTGCAGGCACCACAATAAAATAAATAGTAAATAATGATAATCATAATGCAGGCATTAATCATAATGCCACCATAATTTCAAGAAGGCCAGAACTTTATCAAGAGCATAAATTATTCCTTGATTCTTTGCAAGATGCTACAGTGTGTAGAGCTGAGAGGGGGGAAAATATCTCAATCCTGATTAAGACCTGTTTTTACACAATCAGTTCAGAATATCTGACAAAATGTTGAAGATCCATGGCCTCCATCATTTAGAATAGCTGCAGCTACACAGTAAATTTACAGCCTTAATCTGGCACAGCAACGCTGCACTGCAGCTATGAGATACTTGATCCCCCTTGCTCTTTGAAAGAACAAGCCCATATAATCCCAACACTGCCCTGTAACCAGCACATTTCTTTGCAGCACTTGTATTTCTAAGCAGGAAATTCTTTCCATGTCCCAAATGCTGTATTTACCATGAGTGTACACACAAAGTGGCTGATGAGAGCCTTTATAGATCCTGCACACTTTCAAGTGGTATGACCTAGACTGATATGAAGTGGTCCATAAAGCTCATATTCAATATATAATAATACTGTTAAACTTTACAGCTAGGGCCCTGAAAAGTCAGTGTGTGTCTACTTATGTAAATAGTGTCAAAACCAGCAAGCTCAGGAAAATAATCACTGCAGCTTGTTTCTTGTTGAAGGCATCTCTGAGTTTATCCATTAAAAACCACACTTTTAATTAATTGTCTGGCTTTCTCCCATAACTCTTTTTTTTTTCCTGTCATTGGGGAGAAAGAAGTTAGATAAGGACAGTAAAAAACTGCTGTGCTACTCTTTGTGTCATCTGTGCAATGGAAAGGACAAAGTACCAAAAAAATAAACAGGGACCTGACAACTGAATTGTATTTAACCAGGCAAAGAGTGCTATAGTGGCAATTACCCTAGCCTAAACAATATTCCTAAAAATTCATGAGATATCCCTAGAATAATTTCAAGGAAATACTATTGCCAAGATCTAATTTTCATTTAGGGCTAAAAATAAGCTTGTGGAGGAAAAACAGGCAAATAGGTGGAAGAAGTGAAAACTGCTGTATTTTCTTCAACGTCACCCTAATCTCCATTGGTGTAAACAATGAGAAACTTGTGGGTATGACGTCACTGCTACATGCAACATAAATAAAGAAAAGAACCAAAATACTGAACAAAAATACTCTCTGCTAGAGAAAGACAGGTTGGACCGCACTCTGGGCTACAGGGAACCCATTTTTACTCACAATAGATCACTATCAGTGTGCAGTTAAAATATAGTAGGGGCCGTGTTCCAAGGCAGCAAGAGGAAAAATAAATCAAAAGTTTGTCAATTGTCATAGATTACAAGAAATTCCTTCAAACACATCAATGTACACATGATTTGTCCCCTCTGGGGTTCAACCCCCACCGTTCACAGCAAGCACTGTCACTGAAAAAAATATAGTGAGAATTAGACCATAGCTGCACAAAATGAAAGAAACAGGAGGAACAGGTCATCCAGTTTAGAAATTTCATCCCAGCGTGGTAGCATTTTGTATAAATATATACATATATTTGGCCTCTTGCTGCAAAAACTACAGTTAAGTGGAATAGGAAAGAGATTTAAAACATAAAAAAAAATTAACAATCTGCGAATAAAATTTCCACACAAGTAACTCTTTGGACAATATGCCATCAGCATTTATGTGCTATTCAGGGAGTGGGATGGGTAAGGAGAAAGGGATGGCAAAGAAACTGCAAAAGGAAAGCAGGATTACATGAATAATCCTTGGCCTTGTAGAAATGTACTGATCTGCCCTGAATTATTAATATTAGGCCTAACGAGTTTGGACAAATGGCTATGTAGGTCAGACTCACGTTTAGACCCCACCAGTACCCCAAGCTAATATTCAGAAAATATCTAAACTGAACTGCAACCTCAGATGCATTATTAAAGAATGTGAGTTAAGCATTACGGGAAACTGCATTAATTAGAGCCACCATAATTAAGTTTTCCATTTCTTTCTCATTTAATTCATCTGAATGTGTCAATATTTTTATATACAACCTTTCTTTTCATCTTACATATTTTCCACATTTAGCTGCCTCTAATTACTATGTTACTTGCTCATTAAAGCATGTATTTCTCATATAGAACTATATAGATACATGTGTATGCAGTGTCAAGAATCAAATTGGCATAGTGATGTATTACATGTTGACATCACAGTTGACAGTTTTCTAACTCAATAGGGAGAAAGTTTTCTCAATTTATGCTTTGTTTTGGTTAGAATTGCATTTTTAAGACCAATGATCTGCATCATTTACAGACGGATAACATAGCTGTTTTTTCAAAAGTGATTAGTCATTTGAAAGCTAAAACATTTTATGTGACTAACATTCTGCACTAAAGACTTACCTTAGAAACAAACCCAAATCCAAAAAGCAGGTCCCATAAAAGGGATTTCAAAATTGTCAACAAAATTTGAGAAACAAAAATCACTAATTACTATTGAAATTTTTCATTTCATTTTTTCTTTAAAAGAAAAGCAATTGCCTTATTTCTAATACTTGTGAGCATGCTCCTCATTGAAAGCTGTTCTCAGCTCTATTACAGGCTGCCTGCTCTCGTGATATCTGTGACCTCTTGTGTGTCTAAGAAACAGGAGGAGAGAGGGCAGACTGAGGAGAGGGGAGATGATTAAAGAGAAATTTAAGATGTTATTCTCATGGACCATTATTCTTCACCTGACTCAGAGGACTCCCTCCTTAGTGTTCAGTGCTCACTGCACGAGCTCTGAGAGCCACCTCCTTCCTCTGCCTCACTAATTCAATAATTTTGTTTGTTCATCTGCCCAACATCCTTTCATTTATTGGACTGATATGTGTGACCATGCCATTTGTAACCCTTCCAACTGCTACTCACAGAAATTGTTACTCTTGCCTCTCCACGGCCTTACTGCTGGTAATATCCATTGTGTTGGCTGGGTCATACCCTACTTTCAAACTACTGAGAAGGTTACCTTGATTGTCATTAACATATAATAATAAAGGGCTCTTAAGCATTATAATGTGAGTTCCTGATTCCTGTCTTCTAGCAGATGACAATGAAAAGTGTAGTTCTCATGTTAAACTGAGAGATCTTTGGGATTTATTATTTTTTTAAGCAGGACATGTTTAAAAAGCATACACCATGTGAAGGAGGAGTAGAGAAGAAAATAGAAATAAAATAGGGGTGGTTTTTTTTTGGTTTCTTTTGGGGAGGTTTTTTTTTCCTGACAGAACCAGATAAAATTAAGCAGGTAACATATTTCTCTTTAACTGTTGAGTAATTTCAAAAAAAATATTTAATTTGAGAGTCACAGGCACCCTGAGGCATCTGTAACTGGCTTTACCAGAACTTACTCAGCAGACTCATTGGCTTTGGCAGCAGTTCAAAGGTCACATTCTCACATGGATAAACTGTTCTTGAACAATTTTTTTCCAATATGTTAGGCAATGCATACATTCCTTCCACATCAGGCATGCTTTCCATGTGCTTTGCTCTCCTTGTGGCTACTGGGAAGATAAATACCATTTTCTGTCAGTTCCAGCTGCTTTCTCCCTATCATACTATTGTTCCACACTCTTGGTGTTTTGGAGGAGAGGAGTTTCTTTAAAATCTCCAGCGATAAATTTTTTTCTTTTTAAAATAATCTTCAAGACTTCATTCATTTCAGGTACTCCAAAAAGGCAGAGAATGTTCAGCTTAGGCTTTCTTCCATCCTCTGTAACAGTGCACTGATACTGCAGACTCAAGCTATAAATAAGAGTGCTTTTTCCCTTTTAAAAGTAATGGTAAAATAGGCATGATCAAACTCTTCTGAGATCATTCAATTTACCTAATCAATACCTTTAAACTGAATTATCTTTTTCATGGCAGAATACCATGGAAAGCACATAAATATTTAGATAATCAAAGAGAAATTGATTCCTAAGTAATTTTACTATTGGTATTACAAATATGCATGGGTCAAACACATCTTTGCTTGAAGTGTGGTCGTGATAGCTCCTGGAAAAGGTCCTTTAAAGCATATATGGGTAAAATGCTGATTGCTACATATTTGTAGAAATTTAGGTAAAAAGTCTCATCTCCATTCAAACACTCAATTATTTCCTCATTAAAACCTGTCCAAACAATTTAAGAACTTAACTAAACCTAATATTAGCATTACAGCTAAAAGGATATATGTAAGAGGTGCTAATATTTAATTTCTTCCAGACAACCCTTTCCTCCAGTAAAACTGCTCATTTATTTCGACAAAAGAGTATTTCAATAGCTGTATGATAAAACAGAATTCCCTAGTTTCTTCTTTTGCAGAACCTGCATGTTATAAACGAGAGAAAAAACTTCACTGTTGTCCCATTCTTAATTCATAAACCTCCACAGTTAGATTTAGCGTCACTTAATTCTTCAGTTTTTGTTAGCGTTGGACTTTAATTTACTTTTTAATGAAGACACAGGTGTGAGTGGTGTGTATGGACTTCAGAAACTCAAATAGCACTTACTATGTTGCTGTGCATTTATTTCTTAGCTTTTCTGCACCTCTGTGTAAAACATGTAAAGGCATGTACAGGTATTCTTCAGGGCTGAACAGTTCATGAAAAGGAGAGGAAGGGAGGGATAGAAATATTACTTACGCCGTTTGCAGCCACATTTTTTTATCCTTTTGGGATCCGTGATGTCATCATGACAGGCCTTGCAGTAAAAATATGCCCTGGAGAGACAGAATGGAAAAACTGACACATTTCTTAATCCATATAAATTAAATTAGTCCCATATTTCATCTTGTTGCAGTGACCAATTAATGAAACATGCCAGTGCTAATTTACTGTAATTTTTGCAAAGTTTTGGACATTTAAGGTAGGAAATATTTGATGCAAGACCATTAATTTCAAACATAAGGCTCCAAATTAGTATGTCCTTTAATGCACTTTTATTTGAAAAGTAACTGGAAGAATGTATGATAATTATGCCACAGTGTATTACTTTATTTGTTTTTCATCTTAGAAAAAAGAACATCCAATGAACCTCGTCACAATAAAAGACATTTTTGTTCTTATCAGCTATACCAGGGTGTTTTTTTTAAATACTGTCTAGCACCCTGTGCCAATTTTTCAGGTTGTACATTTGATCATTACTGTATGATCAACACTGCACATTGATCTTAAATAAAGGTAGAAACGATGACCCTGGGAACTACTGGCCTGTCAGCCTCACCTCTGTGCCTGGAGAGATCATGTAACAGATCCTCCCAGAAGCTGTGCTGAGGCACATGGAGGACAGGGAGGTCATTCAAGACAGCCAGCACAGCTTCACCAAGGGAAAATCCTGCCTGACCAACCAGCTATGATGGAATGACTACATCAGCAGATAAGGAAGTACTACAGATGTCATTTATCCAGACTTCTGTAAAGCCTTTGACATGATCCTGCAAAACATCCTTCTCTCCAAACTGGAGTGATGAATTCCATGGGTGGATTAGGAATTGGTTGGATGGTCACATCCAGAGGATAGTGATGAATGGCTCGGAGTCCCACCAGGGACTAGTAACAAGTGGGGTCCCTCAAGGATCTGTACTGGGACCAGTGTTATTTAATACCTTCATTAATGACACAGAGGCATCAAGTGCACCCTCAGCAAATTTTCAGATGACACCAAGCTGAGTGGTGCTTTTGCCACTCCTGAAAGACAGGTTATCATCCAGAGGGACCTGGACAAGCTCAAGCATTGGGCCCTTGGGAAACTCGTGTGGTTTAACAAGAGCAAGTGCAGGGTCGGGGCCACCCCCAGTATCAGTCCAGGGGGATGAACAGATCCAGAGCAGCCCTGCTGAGGAGGACTTGGGGGTGCTGGTGGGTGAGAGGCTGGACATGAGCCAGCAATGTGCACTCAGCCCAGAAAGTCAAACGTGTCCTGGGCTGCATCCAAAGCACTGTGGGCAGCAGGACAAGGGAGGGGACTCTGCCCCTCTGCTCTGCTCTAGCGAGACCCCACCTGCAGTGTTGGGAGTCCCCAGCAGAGGAAGGACATGGACCTGTTGGAGTGAGTCCAGAGGAGGCCCCCAGGATGGTTAGAGAAACAGAGCACCTCTCCCACAAGGAAGGGCAGAGATAATTGGGGTTGTTCAGCCTAGAAAAGAGCAGGCTTCTCAAAAAGAGCAGGGTGACCCAAGTGTGGCCTTTAGTACCTGAACGGAACTTACAGGTAATAGGAGACAAGAGCACCTACAAGAGCATGTAGAAACAGAACAAGGGGGAATGGGTTTATATTGAAAGAGGGTACATTTAGATTAGACACTACGAAAAAGATCTTTTCTATGAGACACTGGAAAGGTTGCACAAGGAAGTTGTGGATGCCCCATGCCAGAACAAGGAGAAATACGGAAGTGAGAAAGAAATATTTTTACTTTATATAAGATTTTGTACAATTTCTGATTTAATAAATATGCATCAGACTGCCCACAGGAGAGTGCAGTCATGACTGCCAAGTCAACATGTCATGTAAGGCTGCCATGACACATTTCATGAGGATCACCCAGCTGGACTCTAGGAAGAAATTACAGTTTACCAGGATTCTTGCTGGCACAGCAAATAAAACATACTATTTAACCTTATGAATTTTTCTTGCACTTGTCCACACTAAGGATAGGTCAGCTCCCTGCCTATCTTCTCTACCCCTTCCTACTGCATATTTCTCAATACAATTTGGCAGTAAGAGGCAAAGCCCCCACTTTGCAGCCACCAATATATTTTGCTGACAGTGTGAGATCATTAGATTGCTACAACAGTTGGGAAGCCACTGAAACAAAACTATCTACAATCCAAAATATAAAAAAAAAACAAAACCAAACCAATATTTATATACAGCCTCTGATTAAACACAGCCTTCGGCCCTGCAGCCAGGATGATTACTACTATTTCTTCTAGATGAACTACAGCATGGCCACTGCAGGTGGAACTATACTGGTAGTTAAGTGACCCATCGCGAGAAAGACAGCAGGTCTAGCATAGAAGAGATGAACCATATCCGTGCTTCATACAGGTTCAAATACAAATTGAAATTGCAGGGAGACCTCACTGAATGCTATTAACATTTCTAAAATCAGTATCACATGAAGCTACCAATGGAATATGTAAGTCCTAAACCTAGCACATTTTATTTCTCTAAAAAACTTACAGGAAGATTACGCTTTCAGCTGTGAAATTGCCCTAGTATTTCCAAGATGCAAAATGTAAAAGGAAAACATCTTCTCTGAGCACATATACTTTGCTGCAGAAAGTTTCTGGTCTTCGAGATATTCACATTCCACCAAAAGAAAATAAACTACTTCCAAGGAAATAAGAAGAAAATGTTTTTCAAACCGTGAGTCAATGTCAAGATGTAAGCCAGGAGGAGAAAACTGCCTCAAATTTTTACAGTTTCTCTTCTGCCCAGCTGTAAAGTCCCATTATTAAACAAGAATCAAGTACCACAAACAGTCCCTCACAAAAACTTAATTACATAGACATTGGTGATTTCTAAAGACCGTGTTTCTGAAGTTCACTGCAGGACAATTGTCCTAAAGGGTACCTTCAATCCAATGCCCAAGGTAAAGAATAAATACCTGAAGTGATTGTTGTAACAAAAATTATTCTAGGTAATTGGGGTAAATTAAGTGGATTTGAAGAATTATGGATTTCTGACTCTAGTGCTAACATGTAAATGAACAAGGAATAATGAAGATGCAATTCAGGTAGTTTGTATTATATTTAACAGGCAACATTTTATGTGAAGCTATTTACCAAGGCATAACTGTTTGTAGGTATAATTGCTTCTTAAGGAAAACGATTCTTCTAAAAATGCAAAATTGATTCTAACAGAAAGAGTAATTGAACATTGCAGGTTATATTTCATTGTGGGATACATAAATATGAATAACTTCAGCTTAAGGGAGTTGAAATGTCTTCATTAACAAAGCCAGAATAATTTAATTTCCATTTCAGGTATAAAACATATTTAATTATGTTTTATTAAAAATAATTTTCCCCCTCCAAAAGACCTCAATTTTAGAAGATATTTCTGACTCTGATTCATAGCTCAAAGGGTGAAATTAACACTTTTCATAATTGGCTTTGTTAGCAGAAACACATCTGATAACCATTTGCTTTGCACAGAGCAGCTAAGAAAAGTGGCAAGGGAGGCAAAATATTTCTAAACAAAGCCTTCTGCCAAAAGCCAGGCAGAACTGGAAATCTTGCTTCACATTCGCTATCAAATAAAATGTGGTAGATGAATGATGTGAAAAATTTGTCTAAACTCCTTAATAACAGTTAACTGCTCCCTAACTTTACCAGTTAAAAATACTATGCCATTTTATTTAGTCTGAGAAAAAGTACATTACAGAGTAAAAAATGCCTTATAAATGAAAGAAAACTAGCAATAAATGAAAGAAAACTAGCAGCTCAGTAAAGCAGTGTGCAGACAGTTCAAGTGGAGAAAAGCAGCAGAGAGGAACAGAACGGAATGCTGCAAGGCAGAGTCCCTGAGGCAGTGCAGGAGGCACACGCTCCAGAGATGGTGCTGGAGATGTGACAGGACAGGAGCACTGCTGCCCTGCTCTGCATGTCTCACCTAGCCAAAATCTATGTCAGTTCTTTCCAGAAAAATAGAAGTCAAGTTCTCCAATTTCACTGTTTTGGTGTTTTGACTTTGTTTAAGTATGCATGGCAAGTATGCATGGTTAGGTATTTCTCTATATTTTCATTTCTCTATATTTAATCCTAAAAGGTTGGAACTTAATAAAGGGTATCATTTGAATATTTTGTCATTTTAAGTATAGGATTTAGTTAAAATAACAAACTCATGGAGAACAGCAGTAAAAATCTGATTGCATGACTCAACAAATTATGAGGAAGCACTCTGCTGCAAATATTCCTTTTTTTCTTTTTTTTTTTTTATATCATAGGGACACAGTATTTTTCTATGAAAAACTATTTTATTACATTGCTCTTTTGTTCCTTCCAAGCATACTATAATCCTGATGTACAAGAGTACACACATTTGGTCCTCAACACCTTTTCATTCACCCCAAATCTAGCACAGCCAGGTACATTGAGCCTGTGAAGTTGTCTGTAATGGATATAATGCACTTTTGTAGTTTGATTTATTATTACAAGGTTGTGGAGTTTGCAGTTCCATTAAAGACAAATTAGAAGAACATAAATATTATTTTGCTAATGCTATTACAGAATGAACACAGCAGCTAACTCGCACCAAGAATTTGCTAAAGTCTGAGTAGATAAGAACTCCTCTAAACCCGAAACTAACAGAAGTGTCATCCCTGTCCTCCTCTCCCATAGAAATTCCTCTGAGACACAATATGTATAGAGAAAACAGATGAAAATATTTCACATTTTCTAGGAGGACTCACAAACCCAGTCTCTTTATTTCTTTTCATATCTGCTGCAAATTTCAGTTCCTTGATATTTAGGACAATAGTTAGGAAAACATGTACATAGGTGGTTCAGGAGTAAAAACTCAACTCTCCCCTCAGAATTTTTAAACAGATAATAATGAAAATTAGCTGAAGCATTTACATGTAAATAAAAAAAACCCTGAAATTAAATATATTCATTTCTATTCAAAGATAAAAACATTTTAATTACCTTTTTACTTCTTTGGCATCACTTGCAATGAAGAATCCTAAGGTACCTTCTTGAATCTTGACGTGGTTTCCAGGATTGATTAATATACTGCTCAGTGAAACAAGAACAACAAAAACCAACAAAACAGTAAGTTTATATTGATTTTAACTGAATCTTCCAAATTAGCTTGATTTGATTCTGTTATAGGGGACCCACTAGTTAGGAAAGGCTGCAAGGAAATTTTAAGCCATTCTTCCTTGATATTTCCAAATCAAATAAGAGTTTCACATGCTTTTTACAAAAAACTTTGAGACAGACAAATGCCTCTGCCTATAATCACATCACCTAAGTGCTTACATCTGTTTTCTTATCTTTTTGCTTTAAATATAGACTACACAAAGTCCTCTCAGAAATGTGAAGTGTGAAGCTGAGCATTGCTGTTTGCTTGCTCTGTCATGCAAAGTGGTGACAAATTCACAATATGGTGAAAAGGAAAAAACCCTCAACCACTGCTCAATAACAACAAAAAATATCACTTATGAAACTAAATCCTTTGATGCAAATTTTTGCCGATTTCTAGTGGGAAAAGTTAATGGGACCCCTATCTGGATATATAATGTTATTGTTTAAAAAAATAAATACACACATACACTCAAGGGGAATGGTACAAGACAACCAGTCACGACAGCTGAAAAAACATAAAATGAATAGAAATCTTTTAAAATACTGCTATGCAGCCATGAAGGAACAAAAATAACCCAACCACCATGACAGAAGAGTCTCAGCTAACTTTGACAAAGGAACTGCTATCAACAAGTGAGGTACTCCATGTGTATGAAATATCTTCTTTATTTTCATAATAATTTAAATCTAGACTTTAGGTAAGGTGTTTTGCAGAGCACCAAGCTAAATATGAATATACAGATAGATATAAATATATTCTCCAGTAAGTTTTATTCACGTGTAATATATCTTAGCTTTTGACTCTCTAAAACTTAATATAGCTTTTCAAAAGTTTTCTCTTTTTTGTCTTTTATTAAAGTTCAGGTTTTCTAACTCAATGGTAATAATGGTATGCATATGCAATTTAGAGTAAATAAAGACTACCAGGAATTGAAACACTTGTCCATCTCGCAAAAATTGATGTTAGGGAAGTACATATACACAAAAATAAATAAAGCACAATGCTGAACAGACATACATTACTAAAATTTGAAGGTACAAAGTTTTTCATGCTATTGATAGGAGGGAAAATGGATCTCAGTACATCTCTTATTCAATATGTTATGTATTCTCTACACATTAGGAATAAATTAGTATGACAACATAATATATCTGAAAGATTAATAATCTGCACATTTTTGGTGTAATTCCACATGCCTGCAATGCCCTATGACAAGAATATGCAGGCCACAAAATAAAGTGCTCATGAGTTCAGAAGTAAAAGTTTGGTCATGAAGTCATATTTCAGCCCCCTTTGTAGACCTTATGATACAGCTCTTAATTTAATACCCACAAACTCCTTCTCACAATCTAAAACTTAATTCAGTGGTGTTTTACTGCCATTACTTCAGGCATGGCTTCCTGTAATTTATCTCTCTTGAAAATCAGCATCATATTTTTCTTGTGTGTTTTTCTGCAATGTTCATCACTACAACACGCAAAAGATTCACAAACACGTAATTTCTTTGACAGGAAGAATGAAGATATAGTATTACCCCATTTTAAAAAGGAGAGATTAAGTAACTATGAAATATAGTACTTATTAATTTGGTTTTCCTACAGGCCAAATTTTTCTAAGTGTTTAGCATTGCATAGCCCCATACAGACTTCCTAGGGACTTTTGCTGTGAGAATGCTCAGCATTTCCAAAAGCCTAGGCTCTGATTCCCAAAATAATGAATATACTTAATCAGAGGACAGCTGTAGAAGGTTTGGTTTAAATTATTATCTCCTTCTCACACAGATAGCCTGTGTCAGAGGCTGCAAGAGAAATTAAATCTCAAAGAAAGCATCTACCCAGATATCCTTCCCTTTCCTTCATTCACAGTTTCAAGCTTTGCAACAAATAAAAAGGAGAGGAGAACGACAGGAATTGGAAGGTATCACCACAGAAAGCAGGTTCATCTCCACAGCACACTTTACTAATATTTGCAAAACATGAAATGTGATGGTATAACTAACACCTGTATTACACACATAGATAAATGGGATGAAAAAAGTTACACAGCTAAAGTAGTATCATCCATCATCAACTAGTATCATCTAGTGTCATTTCTAGTATTTCTTTGTCAGTGAATTGGGCCTAATGGCTGCAGTTGCAATGAAAACTTCTACCTAATGCAGTTTCAAAATGCATTTTTACAGGTTTAAGATGGAATAAAACAGATAAAAGAAAAACTAAAAAGAAACAACTACATAAGAATTTCTTCATATGAAACCAGCTACTCAGGTCAAAAATAGGCTGGCAAATTTAGCTATTTAGCTTTCCTGCACAAGCTTTTGTCACTTGAACCCACAAAGTACTTACTAGCAGTTGCAGAGTGCTGTACTGGCCATCTTAGTCTCCACCTTTCCTCCTTCCTGCCTGCTAGGATGCAGTAACCTGCCACTACACTGAGAATTTAGCTGCTAAAATCAAAGAATCTTCTATAGAGGCTAATCTCATGTATTTATTATACCGTTCCTTACGAAATAAGTAAGGTCTTGTAGTATCATTTGGGTTGGATTTTTCTTAGGTACAAATGGGTACTGCTCTATCTGAAAAATACTTTTTATTTCCTTACTTGATTCTTAAGTTACATAAGTGTTACAGCTTTTCAGTGAAAGAAGATGAACACATTTCTTTACACAGACCCAGGCTGGTTCTTTTCCCCAATACAATTCTTGGATATAGATAAACCACAGCAACGAGGAAAAAAAAATCCTACCCAAACCTCAACAACCCAAACTCCACAATCTGAGGTAGCCACTAGATCTATAAATGTTCACTTCTCATAATGACACTTAAAATTTGATGAAGTAACAAACAAATGAAGCAGTTCTTTTGAGATGCATGGAACATAGTCTTAAATTGGAAGTAACTGGCTTCATTTAGGATGCAATGCATTGTGAGCATGATTTTGTATCTCAAGGTTTTCTGAGACACATTAAATCAATTCACATGGGTCAGTGTACAGGCTTTATTTTGTCAGATCTTATACTTCATTCACATATCTCTTTTCACAAATACAAAGTATTTATAACCACAAAATATAGATGTGATCACAAGTAATGCAGTATGACCCCAGCAGCAAAATCTTCTGTTGGAAATGAAAATTAATTTGCCCCATGACTGTTACTGGCTAAGAGTTACAGAAAAAGCTCATAAAGCTTTGGGTTTATATACACACCAGAGAAAAATCATGAGCAATTTGTACTGATCTCTATGGATATATTAAATATACTGCTATTTAAAGCTGCAACTGAATTATTTCTTATGACACCTGTAGTGTCATTAGCTGAAGTTATGCTTTGATAAGCACTCACTCTAATATATACAGCAAGGGAAATGTTTTGAATCAAAACAGAATATAGGCAACAAATAGCACAGAGAAAAACAAAACAGTCTTCTGAGTATTCCAAGAAAAATGCATCCATCAGTTATTTAGAGATGCATTAGATGCATTTAGAGATGTGTTTTTTCAATATTAAAATATGAATACATATCCCCATAGTTAAGAATACAAGTACAGGGTAAACTAAATAGGAGTTTTAGGAGAGACAGCTTACAGCTAATGTCTCCTTTTTATGTATATCCAAGGCTACAAAGGAAAAGGGGAAAAAGGAAAACTCGAGAGGTTTAATAGCAATATATATAGCTAATCCATATGCATTCTGTGCCACACATCAGAAAAAAGATATTACTGAAAATGACACAGATTTTTCCAAGTACATGTTTTTAACCTAAAGCAATATTTAATTTTTTAATCTCCTCAATCAGCTCATGAAACCAAGCAAGAAAGGCCAAGAACTTTAGAAACTTGTAAGATCTTGATCAAAATTTGTAATTTTATAACATTTCTAGTTTAGGTTGTAGTCAAGTAATAGCAAGCTTAAAAACATGTAGTCATAATTTCTTTAATGACTGCAATTCCAGAAATACATCCCTCAGGACAAAACTTTTCATGACAGGGCTCACATGATTGCTTGCTCCTTCACACATCAATGTTTAGGACACATGGCAATTAAAGCCATGTAAATTAAATATGATTTAATGTGTTCAAATGGGAATTTAATGTACTTCCCCACCATAAACTTAGGAGAAGTCAGTTCTATTAGAATAGTATTACAATTAGGAAACCACTTGTGGAATAGAATATGCACTCTGGAAACCTGTGTTTTACACTTATCTGCACAAGTTACCCCGTTTGCTAAAGATTCACTTGGTGACTAGATGCAGGATCATGCAGCTAAGAGCAATGAACATGTCCCACACCGAAAATGTGGATATCACTCTTGAATTCAGCTGGACTCTTAGGAATCACAGACTGTATCACAGAATGGTTTATGTTCAAAGACACCTTTAAAAATCACCTAATTACAACTCTCATGTCATGGTGAGGGATAATTTTCACTAGAACAGATTGTTTAAAGCCCCATCCAATCTGACACTGAACACGTAAAGCACAGGACAGAATCATTAATATTATCTACACAGCTGAAAATGCACTCCCGGACTGACAGAAATATTTGCAGGTGAAACACAAATGGAAATCAGTGCACATTTGAGATACACAGTTTAAAAAAAGAAAAAAAAAAAAAAAAAAAAAAAAAAAGAAGAACAAGGTCACAGAAATTCTAGACAAATGTTTATGGTTTTCTTTACACAGATTATTCAATGAAAATTTCAGATTGGACATGATGACTTTTTCATATGACAGGGGAGAATAGACATCTGTTCATGTTTCTCACTGTGTGTTAATTGTGCTCAACTTATTGGATTGTATCTTTCTGATGTTTTAAGTATACATACTACCTTCAGTAAAACACAGATGCACGAAAATATCTGTTCATCCATTCTTATTTACCTGAAACTACTCCAGGACATGAGTGCTGCTCAATACCTTT